CTAGAGATCTAGACAGACTGTAGCACAGACAAAATAATTCTACTTCTCAGGTCGGTCCATTGAAGCCTCCGCACATCCACCATTAGCCAGAGCAGTGCGGTGTATGGTGGACTGCCCCATTGACCGACATCCATAGCAGAAAGTACATCATGGTATTCATTGTCCAATAGCATGCAGAGACAGTTTGAAAGACAACTGTATTCCACCCAACGACGGAGCTCTCTCTATGGGTCTTGGACAGACTAGATATTCACATATGTAGGTTTGAACCCTTGTTAGGGTCATTTCAAACTTAAAGGTGTGGAACACTGAAAAATACATTTATAAATCTTACTTCTGGTTATAATCAGTCACTCTAAGTTTTTCCTGCAGGCTGAACATGAAAATAGTCTTCCACGAGCTCAGTGGCCTAGTGGTATGAGTGTCTGCCCTGAGGTTGTGAGTTCAGATCCATGGTGGGGTCCAGTGTCAGCCTGATCAAAGACGGTGCTGCCCCATCAGTCTTAGAAGAATACGGCAATCACTAAATATTTTTAAAGCACCTTGAATAATAAACAAAAGAATCTATACATCATACAGACTATAAATACTGTGTATAATCTGCATTAGTATATAAATGTTTTCTGATCTTTTACCACAACCAAAAAGTCATGTGATGTATTTCCTGTTCCTTTGGGGCACATACATCTTTGCTATAGACAAACATAACTGGCAAATGCACGCTGGATCTCCCTCCAATACAAAGCCTTTGGGCGCAGGACTTTGCACCTGAAGCATGCACAGAAAACCGGAGTCTCAGTTTAACTGGAAGCTCTCCACAATCTACTTTTTCCCGGACAGAAGATGCCTAGCTGGCTGTGCTAACACTGGTGCTTCATTGTTTTTTTTTCCTGCCTCCTCTATGAGCTTCTTGACACAGATCAAGCCTGGATTCAGACAGGTATTACAGATTTAAACTGTAACTGAAAACACATATTTTTGCCTTAACTTCGTCATTTAAGATGGTGTGATGATTAAGAACGGCACTGTGACGTACCCTAGTGTTGATATGTGGTTAGAGCACATCTGAAAACTGACTTGCAAAAAAATAATCTCATCACCTGGTTGAGTCATGTCAAGCACTTTAAAAATTAGACACAGTGCCTCCCTGCTTGACACTTAACATTTACTCATTAACTGCCAACTGTTTCCTGATCAGATAAGCCTCTCGCTGCCAGCGTTTTTCAGTGTTTTCACATTTTTTTGAAATGATGATGTCAATGTCAAAACTCCCAAAACAAAGAGCAGACTCACCTCTTACTGGAAGAATCTGGGTGTTTCGAGCGTTATCCGTGCTTTCCTAACCCATTGTCACCTCGCTTATTTTACAGCAGCGACCCAAAACGATCTCCTAACACATGGATTTTCTACTTCCTGATCACGTGAAGTGTGACATATGCGGATGAAGATCAGCTTTAGAGCTGGGATGTTTGTTGTCATGGTGCGGGGGCTCGTTCCGACGCCCACAGAGTACTAAATCCAAATGACGACTTTAGTCGTCAGTGGCAGTAAATGAGTTAAAGGGTTTAATTGTGGGTTTTAACCAACACATAGTTCCCGAGGATGGCCGTGTCTGCAACTCACCGTTCCCCCAGGGGATGGGTCAAATGCAGAGAACAATATTCAACACACACTAGTGTGTATGACAACTAATCGTTCTTTACACCTATCTCCTTCATTAGCTTCTGATAAAACATAAACAGTGAAACACAAAGATTTGAAAATCCTGACATATTTATGATATATATATATATATATATATATATATATATATATATATATATATATATATATATGTACATACATACATACATATATATAGCTAATACCAAAGGTTATCTTATACTATTGGAGACCCTAAACCAACAACAGCCACCCTTGTCCTGAGTCAAGATAAACTAGTCCATGGATGCTATGTGACATAAATATATGTATGTATATATATATATATATATATATATATATATATATATATATATATATGTGTGTGTGTGTGTGTGTGTGTGTTGAGGGTCTGACCTCATGAGGAAATTACTATGCAGTGATTTTCTCCAAAATGACTGTGCTTAAATTGCTCTGAAAAGCAAATAATCACATCAGCGCCAAGAAACTTCATTTCCCATGATGCTTTGCACACAGAAGCATTGGGATGATGTCACCGCCTAATACCAGAAACACGTTCTGCGGGAGGCGGGAGCTTGGACAGCTTTCCCGTGACTTCAAAGACTATAAATCATGAACGGAACAAAGAAAACTCCGTTCTTTTGCCCAGGATACCTGGCGGTAAGGACACGCTTGTCGAACGCTCCGACAACTTGAGCACACGGAAGCTCTAAGTGCCCAAGTTGAGCCACGCAACCGCTGGAAAGCCACTCCAACTCCATCGGGACCTGACTGGGAACGAGCGGAGCTCCATCCAGCTCTCAGAGACGCTGTAAGTTGTCAAACTCAGCACAAAAGAAACTTTGTTCCCTTTGTGTCCAGCCCGTGGAGAAACACTCACGGAGAACGCCAAACAACGGAGAAAGCATCAAACCGACGGACGACGCCGAAAGCTGCGGAGAAACACGGAGAACCGTCAAATCAATAAGTGAGGGACGCTTCACTTTTCTGGTGATCAGAAACTCATCTCCTTCTCTCTCCTTCTTCTCCCATTTCCTCTATAGTCCAGAATAAGCAATAAAACCGCGCTATTGCTCAAAAGTAGCTTCGTGTTTTCCTCTTTCGCTCCCAATACGTCCGTCGGGTCATTTTGAAAGAATAAACTGCTTATTTATCATGGCTTGAATATCTTTAAATGTTTCCTACTATGGCCAAGTGGTGAAACTAAAAGATATTAACTTGTGATTAATCTTTTGTGTTGTTTCATGATCCTTTGAAATGTTTTGAGTGATTTAAGGTTAAGTTACTACTGATTCTAAGTGCTTTGGAAGTTAAAGTGCAAGTTGCCACCCACACTTTAGCCAGACAAAGGGGTCAGCCATCTTGTATTCAAGACTCCATTTTGAATCCATACACACGCACACACACACACACACACACACACACTACTCCTTTGTGAGAACAAAGGACCCCATTCATACATCCTCCATCACACGCAAACACATCCATCTTCAATCATATCACACGGTTATTATTCATTTATTCCACTGTTTATTCATTTGACAAATTGTTAATTAAATGTTATAAAATTCAGATTTTCGTCTCCAGTAGCTTTGTTGTGTTGAAGAGAAGTCTCTGCTCCAAGGATTCTACGAACTTCAAGAAAGACTGATAAGAGTTTTGGATTCATTTTTTCCCCGGTAGAACGGGGTGGTGCCCCGGAGATATCTAAGAATATCTTAATTAATTAATAAATCAGTAACTATTCTCATATTTACAGAATTTATTGAATAATCCATAAGTAAGTTAACGCTTACTAATTGTTCGCTCCTAATAACCCCAACATATGTATATATATATACACACATGTATATATGTATATATATATACATACACATGTATATATACATATATACATAAATATATACATAGGTTAAGGTTTGCCTTAAATATGATCTGTTTGTGTAAAGGAGGAGTTACTGAGAATTCCCCACTCTGTCACACAGCAGCATACTTACAGGTGACATCACTGCCTTTCACTTTACACAAAAGTGGCTTTTCCTCCTTCTTTCTCCTTCCTCCCCCTCAAGGCTATTGATGATGGTGAACGTTACACCACAGATAATGACCCGGGTGGAAAAGCCTCATTCTGATGTGATGCAGGATTGCAAAAGGAACCTGCCCTTCCTGCTCCTTTGGTGTTTCCGGTCATTGTAAGTCCTGGACTATATAAGGCAGGTGGATTTTCAGCCACAAAAGCATCAGCATCCTTCACTGCTCAGCTGCTGCATCCAAGAGAAACAACAAGATCATTGTGACAGAAACTTGAAGTCATGTTCTCCACGCTACAGGTAATATTACAGACATATTTATGCTTTTAGACAGTTTTCAGACTCTAAAAGTGATGGTTTTAAGTCCTTTTCAAATAAAGAAGTCATAAAAATATCTAAAAGTAGAGGTTTGTAGTGCGGCCAAGGCAGGGAACTATAAAATAACTCCTGCTAATTGTTGAGGAGAACACTCATGCTGGGAAACACCTGTTACACCTCTACACTGGCTCTTTCAAACACAAACATTAGATTAAAGACGTGAACAAGTAAATGCAGGAACTCATCAGCCTGTAGTCATCCTGAGATGTGAAAAATAACTGAAATGCTTTGTTCTGATTTATGTTTTGTCCCAAAGAAAACCATCAGACCAGTGCGGGCTGCCAGAAGACTGCATAACACTGCAGTGGAGGGTAAACAGATATGCTGACTTTGATTAATAATAATAATAATAATAACCTTAATTAATAACCTTTATTAAACAACTTTTATCTTTTCATTCCTGCAGTCCAGAAGCACCCAGCCCCAGAAGATACGGTCACAGCCAGTTTTGGGAAGTTCATCAGTGAAATAAAGCCTCAGCATTTGTCTCCGGTTGTGCTCCATCGCAGCAAAAGGATGGTGCTGGACAGCATCGGGGTCGGACTGATAGGGAGCAGGACAGATGTGTTTGAGCTGGCTCTTCAGTTCTGCCAGGTGAGGCAAAGTGAAAGTCTGAGTCAGGTCCAACCCAAATATGTCCAGAACAGATGAGTGAATGTAGGGTTGTTTCTGTGTTTGTTCTTAGCACATGTATGCTCCGGATCACATCAGCTCTGTGTACGGACGCAGAGGGATCAGACTCTCCCCAACACTGGCAGCTTTCGTTAATGGAGTAGCGGTGAGAAACATAAGTGGAAAACAACCATATATAAATAACCACATAAACATCAGTGGAAACATTTAGTATAAACAGCTTTTCTCAGCTGTTGGTGCAGCGTGGCTCCCAAAGACAACAGGGTTAGGATGTAGAAATAAAATCAGCTGAGCTGGCCTTAAAGTTTCCCATCAACTATTTCCAAAGAAGCTACTTTCTTCCCCCTCGATGGCTGGATTCAGGAATGAAAGTCATTTTACTTTTGAAAACACCAGGAACAGAAAACATGTCAGTGTTCACTTCAGAAAAAAAACATAAAGAAGTGGATCATTCAGACACGGCACAGGCAAGGTGTTCATAGCTGGGTTCTGATCTAGTTATGACCCTCACAGAAAAAGTTATTATTCTGACTCCTTTCAGCTTCAGTATGATGAGACACAAACTCTGGTTGCTTCCAGACTCATTCCATGGACTTTGACGACACGTGGCATCCAGCCACTCATCCCTCAGGAGCTGTTCTCCCAGCTTTGTTTGCTCTCAGTGACATGATGCCGGCTAACAGCAAACCAAGCGGTCTGGACTTCTTACTGGCCTTCAATGTCGGCATTGAGATCCAGGGCCGTCTGATGAGGTTCTCTAATGAAGCACGCAGCATTCCCAAGAGGTCAGTGCCTCACAGCACAAGTCAAGCTTGAACCAGAAAGTCTGGTTTTAGCACGATCTTCATGAACACGTTCGTTTAAAGACGTCCTTGTTTGACTGTGCTGATCTCAGCACTGAGGTGTAAGAGGCCGTTTTAGTGATGTCAGTGTAATGATGCTTACTGTAGGAACAGCAGGGGCTCTTGGTGTAACGTTAACAGAATTAGCACAAACCAAACCCTTCATCTGGTGGGTGTTTTAGAAACTCAGGTGACCTGAAACGAGTCAAATCAATTCATCTTGTTCTAAAGATTCAACCAGTAGAAACGTTCTTAAGTGGTGATGCAGATCAGTGATTGTTTCAGTTACAACAGAATAAATGTCCTAACTGAACCGTGTGTGTGTGTGTGTGTGTGTGTGTGTGTGTGTGTGTGTGTGTGTGAACAGGTTCCATCCTCCCACTGTGGTGGGTCCTATGGGAAGTGCAGCAGCCTGTTCTCGTCTCCTGTCTCTGGATCCGTCTCAGTGCAGTCATGCCTTGGCTATAGCAGCTTCTCTAGCTGGAGCTCCGATGGCTAATGCTGCCACTCAGTCCAAGCCCCTTCACATCGGCAACGCCTCTCGTTTGGGACTTGAAGCTGCTCTGCTGGCCTCCAGAGGCCTAGAGGCCAGTCCTCTGGTCTTGGATGCTGTTGCAGGAGTGGCGGGCTTCAGCGCCTTTTATGAAGATTATGTTCCTCAGCCTTTAGAGTCACCTGATGGTGGTGGACATGTGTTCCTGTTAGAGGAGCAGGACATGGCTTTTAAGCGTTTTCCTGCCCATCTGGGGATGCACTGGGTAGCTGATGCTGCAGCTGCGGTCCATGAGCTCCTTGTGGGACATGGTCTAGGACAGGTGTCCCCACATCAGGTCCAGGACATCCTGCTCAGGGTCCCCCAGTCTAAATACATCAACAGGCCTTTTCCCGAGTCAGAGCACGAGGCACGCCACTCCTTCCAGTTTAACGCCTGCAGCGCTCTGCTGGACGGTGAGGTGACCGTGCAGTCCTTCAGCCCGCCCGCCATGAGCCGCCCAGAGCTGCACTTCCTGCTGAGCCGTGTTCGCATGGAGCATCCTGAGGACAACCCCGCCAATTTCAACCGCATGTACGGAGAAGTCCAGGTGACTCTAGTTGGAGGAGACATCCTGAAGGGCCGCTGTGACACCTTCTACGGCCACTGGCGCAACCCGCTGACAAACCAGAGCCTGAGCAAGAAGTTCAGAAGCAACGCAGAGGTGGTGCTGCCATCAGAGAAGGTGGAGCGGCTGGTGGAGGTGGTGGAGGAGCTGGACAGGCTGGATGATTGTGGAGCTCTTCTCTCACAGCTGCAGTGATCAATAACACTGAACAATAAAGCAACAATCCTTCAGCATAGAATTAAGAATAATATTATTTTTATATTGATGTTCTGAAATGATCTGCTTAGTGTAGACTGGAAATGAACAGATTGTCATGTTTTTCCTCTGGAGTTTTCCTAAAGCTGATGTTTCCTCTATTGTTCAAGATTGTCTTTTTGTATTGAATTCTGTTTTTATCGTAACAAAATTCAGATAAAAACATGACTCGTCTGTGTGTGTCATATTAAATCTTTAATGCCTGCTTTTATATTAATATTGTTAATGTATGAAACGTGTTTCCTGCAACCTTTTCTCAAAATGTGTACATAATAAACTGTTTTAAACGTGTAAAACACATGGTCATAAAGTCACCTGTGTGTGTGTGTGTGTGTGTGTGTGTGTGTGTGTGTGTGTGTGTGTGTGTGTGTGTGTGTGTGTGTGTGTGTGCGCGCGTGTGTGTGTGCGTGTGCGTGCATGCGTGTGCTGTGTCTTCTCAATCCCCAGTGGTTCATGGCGGATGGCTCCAGGATCCTTTGCAGGTTTCATCCTGTTAAATAAAAAATTGAACGACTCTAAACTTTCTGCTTTTAAATCAAGACTGAAGTTCTCATTTTTGGACCAGAACTTCGGAAAAGGAAATTGTTTAGCCAATCATCTGACCTGAACAGCATTAAATTAGTCTCCGAGAACAAAGTAAGGAACCTTAGTGTCTTCGACCAGGACTCTCACGTTAAACTGGTTTGTAGGATTTCCTTTTTTCACCTTTGGAATATTGTTAAGATTAGATGCATCCTTTCCAGGAGTGATGCTGAAAAACTAGTTCATGCATCTATTACATCAAGACTGGTTTACTGTTATTCATTACTCTCAGGAAGTCCACAGAATGTAGTTAAAAGTCTTCAGCTTGTCCAAAATGCTGCAACAGGAGTTCTGATGAGAATTAAAAAGAGATCATAACGCTCCTGTGTTAGCTTCCCTACATTGGCTACCTGTTAAATTCGGAATAGATTTTAACATATAAAGCTCTAAATAATCAAGCTCCATCATTCATCAGTGACCTGATTGTTCCATACGTTCCTAACAGAGCACTTGGCTCTCAGACTGCAGGTTTACTGGTGGTTCCCAGAATATCTAAAAATAGGATGGGAGGCAGATCTTTTAGCCATCAGGCTCCTCTCTTTTGGAACCAGCTCCCAGCTTTAGTCCGTGAGGCAGACACTTTTTCTACTTTTAACGCCGGGGACACACCGGCCGTGGAAGCGCCGCGAAGCGAATCGCTCACGAAATTTGGCCGCTGCTCGCCGCTCCTCAGTTCAGATCAGACGCGCCCCAGTTGAGGCGCGCCTCGGCTCAGCTGTAGTTTTTCTTTTAAACACTTGGTATCCTCCATTTCCTCTCGGCCTTTTCTCAGCTCTTTTCCTCCACGTTTGAGTGTGTGTGTGTGTGTGTGTGTGTGTGTGTGTGTGTGTGTGTGTGTGTGTGTGTGTGTGTGTGAACCATGTGTGAATCATGTGTGAACCTATGGTATGAGTTGTTTCTGCCAGTTGAATCTCTTGGAACCCGCTCCAATTCTTCAGCTGTATCCTAGCAGTTTCTTCCGAAATAGGTACGTAAATAACCATGTTTTTCGGGGGTCAGACAGCTCCTTGTGTTTCTCAACTTCCATAATTAATTTAAAGTCATCCATCTTAACTGCTTACCTCAGACTTTCTGCCTCTCTGTCCTGTTTGCTCCAGTGAAAAGACACCCAAAACCACACACCCCTTCACGTGGTCACACACGCACACAAGTTCAATGTGTGTGCATGTTCGTGTGGTTTTTCTGCAGTGTCTGATTACGAACACATTTGACTATTGCTGAATTTCATTTTGAAATGCTTTATTTTGTTAACTTTACCGGCCTGCCTCTTATGTCTAGGTTTGACTTCCTGCCAGAATTGACGCGATTCACCCGCGGCTCGCGAAAAAAATAGAGCCAACGCCGAAATGATCGCTCCATGTCGCGGGCTGGAGCGCCGGTGCAAGGTGATTCGCGGTGCTTCGGTGACCCATGTGGTCTATAGAATAGCTTAACAAGGGCGCCGAATGAAGGCGGTCCCATTTTCGTGGCGCTTCGCGGCACTTTGCGGCGCTTCCGTGGCCGGTGTGTCCCCGGCGTAAGACTAGACTTAAAACATTTTTATTTGATAGGACCTAGTTAATATCAATGGAAACTTCAGGGTTAAACATGGGCTAAAAAAGATGTGAAGTCCTTTGCATTTGCAAAATACTGTGTAAAAGGAATAACCAAAAGGAAAACCGCCAAAAATGTGATAATTTACATTTTGTCTCCATGTTTCTGTCATGTTCCTGAGCCGAGGTGAGCACTCTCTCCTCACTAACCATCTCTGAGGCAATCTTCCACAGGTGAGGAGCAGAGGGTGCTGCAGGTATGCCAAATCTCCAATCTGGAGGTCAGGTATAAAAGGAGGATGGAGACACCACACTACGTTGGATGATTGCACCTGTTAGGTAGCCCCAGCCTCTCGACTTCGTTTGCTTGTTAAATCTTTGATATTGGATTATTGGCTCTGAACCTTGGACTGTTTTTCTGGATTATGCCTTTTGGATTTTCCCCTGAACTCTGTTTGCTCTGCTGTGGATACTCAACTCTTCACACTTCTCTCGCTACCTGAACCTCAGATTTCCAGAAGCACGTCCCATCCTCTTCTACGCCTGCCCATTTATCTCCGCTGCCTCAACTGCCTCAGCCCGCTGAATTCCACCTGTGCTCACCTTGGTTACCCTCCTTTCCCACACGTCGTGGACTACCATATGGACTGACGCCAAACGGCACACCCTCACTGGACTTACCAGTGCACTTTTTGTTCCTGCTTAGAAAATAAAGAACTTTTCTTTTTACTCACCTATTGAAGTCATGTTGATTCTGCATGTCTTGGGTTAAACACCTCCCGCGAGTCATGACAGAATCATCCGGCCAAAACGTTAACCCAGCGGAATCAGCACTCGCTGATCTGGCTAACAGGATGTCCCAGCAGGAGCAGACTCTTCCGGTGCTGATGGAGCAGCTGACGATCGCCAACCAGCGTTACCTGCATTTGGAGGCTATGGTCCAACAGCTTCACAAGCGATTTCCAGCTCCTGCTCCAGCGCCGTCCCCAGCATCTTTCCCAGCCACCACTTCCGCTTCAAGCCCGGAACCGTCGTCACGAACAGTGAGTCCACCCGGACCGGGGACGATCGGGCTTACGGAGGTCACCCACTTCCGTTCAGCTCCACCGCTGCCATGTCCTACGTTCTCGGGTGAGTTTGAGGATTGCTATGGGTTTTTACAACAGTGCCGCCTGGCGTTCGAACATTCACCACATGCTTTTATGACGGACTCTTCTAGGATTTTGTTTATTGTTGGACTTTTGAGGGGAAAGGCTCTTAGGTGGGCAGAAGAAAAGAGCAGAAATGCTAAATTTTTGTCTGGTCCTTATGCTGATTTTTTGGAGGATTTTAAACAGACTTTCTGCAGCTCAGAGACCACAATTGACATTAGAAAGAAGATTTTGCATCTATCACAGGGAAGGAGAAAGGTGGCGGAGCTATCTTTGGAGTTCAGGACTTTGGCAGCCATGACGACATGGAATGACGATGCCTTAAAGGCAGCTTTTATTGAGGCCCTGAGTGATAGAATAAAGAACCAGCTGGCCCTGTGTCCCGAACCAGCCACTCTGGATGGATTAATCTCTCTGTCCATCTCTATTGATAAGAGATATCGCGAGCTTCAGAAAACGTCAGCGATGCAGTTTCCACCGCATCCTACACCTCGCCACCTTACCGCTAGACCTTCGTCCGCGGACTCATCGGAGGAGCCCATGCAGTTGGGAAGAGCCCATTTAACCCCGGAGGAACGTCAGCAGCATATCAGCAAGGGCCTCTGTCTGTACTGTGGACTTCCTGGACATTTCGTTCAGACATGCCCGGTTTTGCTAAAAGGTCGAGCCCACCAGTAGAACTGGGAGTCCTGGTGGGTGGTACCCCTGAAAATAAAACCTCCCGGTTCCTCATCGAGTGT